AAACTTATTTCGAATCAAAGATAAAGTTAATTGAGTTCCAGAATGAAGATTATTTAGGTGATAGTGTAATACAATTAATTTGGTTACAAAATGATCTTTAGGAATTAGCAAAGGATGCTTCTGATCAATATCTAAATCCGAGTGACGTAATCGTCCGCCTACTCTAAGAATTCCTTGGGAATCTATAAAAATGTTAAGCGAAATAAGCTTGCTTTTTCTTGGTAAAGGAATATTTTTTATGCAAGCATTGATTTCTGGGGTGAATTCACATCTCTGAATAATCTTGACGATTTGTAATAGAGAATCTTTTAAGTCTTGGGATGTTAGAAATGAGAGTCTTTGAGTTGGCTGTTTTCTGGTGATATTAATAAATCTTTTACACCAAGCCATGACCCTTAAAAGTTTGGTGAAGGAAGAATATTTGGACAAAAACTCTGGGCATGGTTCTGCTATTGTAGCATGCAGTATAACACTGCGCTCTTCTAAACCCATAGAAGGGTCTATAGTGAATGAAGGAATATTTTCCGAACCATCTAATGTCAACCAAACGGGTCCATGCCACCATAATTTTGAATTGATCAAACAGGAAGGCAAAATTCCTCTCGTAGCAAGGTCTGCTGGATTTTGCTTGCCTGATATATATTGCCATGAATGGGCTGCAGTCAGATCTTGAATCTTTGCCACCCGATTGGCCACAAATATCTGCCACTTCTTTGATTCAGAAGTAATCCACGCCAGAACAATCTTTGAATCTGTCCAATAGAATTGTTCATCGACATTAAAGGGAAGTGCTTGAGTTGTCTGCGATTGAAGCTGCGCCAACATCAAGGCTGCGCAAAGCTCAAGTCTTGGTATGGTTATTTTCTTGATGGGAGCAACTTTTGTTTTTGCTGTCAAAAGAATGGTCTCAATTTGATTATTCTCATAAGTTATTCTTAGATAACAGACAGCAGAATAAGCCAACTCCGATGAATCACAGAATCCATGCATCTGCATATTGGAAATTAATAAATTCCTTTGGAATATACATCTTGGAATACTGATTTGTTGAAAATGCTTCATTTCTCTTTCAAAAGTATTCCACTTTCTTTGAATAGAAGCAGGTATATCTTCATCCCAGCTTATTTTCAATTTCCATAATTCTTGGAGGAGAAGTTTTAGCACAACTGTGGTAGGGGAAAGCCAGCCACAGGGGTCATAAATTCTGGCTATAGCCGATACAATTTGTCTCTTTGATTTAATATCAGCTGGACCAGATTTACAAGAAATGTTGAGGGTATCATAACTTGGATCCCATTGGATTCCAAGAACGTTCACGCCTGATTCCTTTCTATTAAGTTCCATCACCTCACCTTTTCCTCTCAATAATAAAGGTAAGTCTTCAATTATAGAAGTTTCATTGGATACCCATTTTCTCAGAACGAATCCACCAGAACCCAATACAGCAATCAATTGTTGCATGAGTCCCTTGGCGTCCTCCACGGTGGGGCATCCAGTCAGAAGGTCATCCACGTAGAAATCCTCACGAATAATCTTGGATATTCTTGGATTAGAAACCTGTACCTCATGGGCAATCTGATGTAGAGTTCGAATTGCCAAGTAAGGAGCACATGCTAGGCCATAAGTGACTGTCAACAAGTTATACTCCTGCAATTCTAGATCTTTACGATCTCTCCATAGTATGGTTTGATATTTAATATCGTCTGGATGTAATCTAATCTGCCGATACATCTTTTCAATGTCGGCCACTAAAGCAACAGAGTTCGTGCGGAACTTGAGTAGGATGCTGAATATATTATTTTGAAGTTTTGGACCTACATGAAGGAGATCATTCAATGATATTTGGGTGGTAGTCTTGGTGGATGCATCAAATACCACTCGTAACTTATTTGGCTGTGCCTTTAGAATACAGTGATGAGGAATGTAATATTTTGGTTCAGTCTGTAGAGAAGAACTTGCCTGCATATGACCTAATCTTATATATTCATTCATAAATTGTTTATATTGAACATATATATTTTCATTTTGTTCTAACCTTTTCTCTAGATTAAGAAATCTGCTAATTGCGATGGATTTCGATTGACCTAACTTTTCAGCTGATTCCTTAAATGGAAGCCTTACAATATACCTTCCTGGCTACATTTTTTAAATAATGACTTTCACAATCCTTTTCTTCTTTTGTAGGAATTTCTTCCAAAGGAATGGATTCCAATTCCCAGAACCTTTTTATTAAATCTTCAGATTCCAATTCAGAAGAGAAATGTGCCATATTTCTGAATGACTGCCGTTCACTCACTGAGGTCGGACCATATACGAGCCATCCCAATTTTGTATGGATAGCAGATGGCTCATTTTCATTTCCATTTCTCCTTCCTTCCTGAATGAGGTTGAATACTATATCTGACCCCAAGATTACATCTATTTCTCTCGATTTAAAATATGAAGGATCAGCCAGGATCAATCCCTTCATATGTGAATAATTTATTTTCTTGACCGTAAAACTAGGAATATTGTTTGTTAACTTGGTAAGAACCAGTGCTGTAGTCTCAAACGATTGATGATCAAAGTGAGAAGAAAACCTGATCAAGACCTCACCTAGGGAAGATTCCACAAGTTGATCTCCCAAACCTCCAACAGCTATACGTTTACGTCTGATGGGTATTCCTAGTTTTGCCGCGCACTTTTCAGTGATAAGGCTTCTTTGACTTCCATTATCTAACAGAGCTCTACAAATTTGATCTTCCCCATTTACATCTTGTATATGAATTATAGCTGTAGATAACAGTATTTGTATAGAACCATCTGCTCCACTCAAACAGCAGGATGTGCTTGTTGAAGGTACACTCGATGGTTGTACTGATTTGGGAGAGGTAAACTGGACACCAGATAATTCCCTTTGTCTTGGAGGACTTGAAATCACATGCAACAAGGTATGATGGTTTCTGTTGCAATGGAAACAACGATTTGTGATTTTACAATTCTCAACAGAATGATTGCCACGCAAACAATTAGAACAAAGCTGGTTCTGTTTTACATAACCTATTCTATCTTGAATTGACATTTGTCTGAATTCATTACATTGATTCAATTTATGCCTCAATTTACATAGTAGACAATTTTTGAAACCTACATTGATGTTGTATGTATTTACTCTTTTATTCAAATTTTCCTTTGAGGTAGTGTCCTTCATTGTATTCATTAAAGATTGAGCTTGTTTTGCCAAAAAGGAAATAAACCTTTGATATGAGGGCAGTTCTTGATTATCATAGGACAATTCCCATTGTTGTCTGATTGGAGTATCCAGCTTCTTTTGTAAAAAATGTATTAACATAATGTCTACCATTTCATTTCTTTCCAAACCTATTGTCTCTAAATTTCTAAGAGATTCGTTGCAGATATCCAACAACTCATACATAGCCTTTAAAGTAGAGATCTTATACAATTTGATTTTAAATATTTTATCTAGTTGAGAGAATATTATCTCTCTTTTATTATCATATCTTTCTACCAAAGTTTTCCAAGCTTGAGTATAATTATTTTCAGTTATCGGGAAACCCTTTATTATACGAGCTGCATCACCTTTTAAGGAAGAATGTAAATATTGTAATTTTTGTATATCTGAAAGAGTCGTATTTTTATCTATTGTAACCAAAAATAGGTCCTTAAAACTCAACCACTGAGACATCTCACCAGAAAATATAGGCAAATTAAATTTGGGTAATTTAACATTAGATATTACACTTTGTTCCGATTTGACTGGCTGAGAAACGTTCTCTACTTCCAATATTTCTTCAATTTGCAATACAAAATTTTCATAACGATTCTTTACATCTATGTATTCTTTAAATAGAGTTTCACTGGTTTCCAAAGCATTCGATCTAACTATTTGATAATAGGTTTCTTTGATGGTTTTAAATAATTCGGCAATATTTGTATGATAAAGTTTCAATCTACGTATATTTCTCTGTTGACAAATTTCGTCAAACTGATTTGCATAGGTATTGAATTCTTCAACATAAATTTTAAATATTGGTATATCAGAATTCGTCTTTTTAGACATGATTTAGATTGCTTAAATATTTATATTTCGTTTGATTCTATTCACCACGAGATAATTTAATTTTTCACTTACCCAATTATCCGTGGATCCGTACTCGAAAGGGACCAAAACCGATGTTCGGTTTTAGATTTGAGTATTGTATTTATTTTGACTTGAGTTATTGAATGAATGAATGAATAAAGTCTTTGTAAAGAAATAGACTAGATTTTAGTTAATTAATGAATGAATGAACTCTTTAAAGAATAGATTAGGTTTTATTACCACGACTTTGATTACAACAACCATAATAGTAGAAGATTATAAAACATCAACAAAACACCAACAGTGCCAAATAATAAAATAAACTTCACAGATTAAATAAAATAAATTAATTAATGAAAAACAAAATGAATTTAAAAAATGCAAATAAATGAGTAAATGAATATTTACAATTGACTCCAACAGTAGGCATTGATTTCATGATATCTACAAGTGGAATATTTATAGAATTTCCTTAAGAGCTATTTAGCTGGTAAAGTAGATAGGCTAATTCTATGGCAAAAATATGGATGGTAATTTTGTCGGAAGGCAATTGATCTCAAACATGTACGGCCCAAACAACCTTGTACGGCCCAAACCACAAGAGGGCCTAGCTAATATCCCCATATTACTTGAACCTTTGATATCCAGACATTTTTATATCATACCTGAGTGGCTGATTAAGACAAATGTTTCATTATATTTTGTCCGATAAGGCGGAACACGTATAGGCAAGAGAAAGTTCTACAAGTTCAAGTGTTTGCGGGGATATACCCAGTAGTGGGCGTTGAGGACTTGGGGGCGCCCTATTGATCCAATGCACACACAGGCTCCTTACCCAGGGCCTTTCGTAAGTCGAGAAAACAGCTGATTTTGTTGCATGATTGAATCTAGGCCGAATATTAGCGTTCGATCAGCCCAAAGCCAAGAGCACTCAAGTGGTTACCCTCCCAAGTTCTGACAAAGGTTGAAGTTGCTTCACTTTAGTGATCGGACGAGAACCAGTATTTGAAATGTTGTATGGCGATAGATAAAAGTCATTGATTAAACCATCAAAATAACGGTCCGATGGGATGGAAATCAATAGAATCTGAAGCATGCTCCACTTTAATATCATTCCGGAACAGGAGCAGTGACCTAGTGGTGTTAAAGTGTCTCGTATATCAACCATCCATCCGGGTTTGACACTCGGTAGATCGAGAATGAGCTCTTTCAATTATCTCAAAGGTTCAACTCCGCTACAGTAATCCCTCGTTAAGACGAACTCAACGGGAGAACGAAATACCCTTTTCGTCTTAAAATAATATATACAGAATTCGTATTAGACGAATTGAATTCGTGGTATCCGGGGGTTGTACTTATGTACTACCGATGAGTAAGAAAACTACATTTCTGAGGAATAACGAATAAATTTATTTGAAAACAATATTAATGAAAATATTCTATAATTTTAAGGAACAACAATTATGTATATGTATATACATAAAGTATTTTATTTTAAAAGACAATATGGATAATATAATCACAATGTAAGGCAATAACATGAGAATATAAGTTTATTTTAAAACACAAATAAAAAAGAACAACAAAAGAAACAACTTACATAATATACTTGGTACATACAATGTTTATGTGTATGCAGCATATGCAGTATGCATAGAGTATCCTATATCCGGGTTTTCTCTGCAGGCTTCAGAAAGTCTGTTATAGTTTTTTGGTGGTATTTGATTGGGCACTGTTTCAGACACTCCCTTCTTATTTTATCCAGGTCATCTTCAAAATATTCGCAGAGGTTTTGGACAGCTTCTGGAGGGTTTCGAGGGCCGCGATTACTTCCCCTCTAGTAGGCATCATTATCTCTTCTTTCACCTCATCGTCTTCTGTTTCTTCTTCTTCTTTTCTTCTAATTTCTTCTAACCCTTCATCCAGGGCAACATACTCCAGGAAAGTCAAAGTCTCAGCTGGGTTTGTAGCTGAAAGGAGTTTGGTCCATTCTTCAGGCTCATCAAGCATTGTTTCTGGAAGTGAAAACGAATCAGCTGTTTTTTCCACACCCAATGAGACACATATTTCTTTAGCCTTTTCTTTGACAAGTGCGCCGGATACAGGAATATTATTTTGTCTACTTTTTTTAAACCATTTTAAAAGCTCATCTTCCACGTCTTGATGGGATGCTTTTCGAAGTAGTTTTGAAGAGCTCGAAGACCCTGAGGCAACAGCCGCATCTATTTTTTCTTTGTTTTTAGAATGGTTGATAATGTGGATTTCGCAATTTGAAAATTTTCGGCAATTTGCGACTTAGATAACACTCCACGTGCAACTTCGTCCAAAATTTTCCTTTTTAAGGCAAGATCAATGGCGCTTTTTTTCGCGGTTTAGATGACATGTTTATGTAGGTTTTTTTCATGGAAGCTCAAACAATTCACACTTCGATTATTTAGAATTTAATAATTTTTATTTCAAACGCATTATTTTATAATACAATCAATTAGTTGGTTATAAAAAAGATATAACAAATAGAAATAAGTCCTTTTTCTTCTGAGAGCTCGATTTACACAGATTATTATTCACAGAATATATTTTTATTATTTATATTATATTTAATATTTTTAAATATATGTTTTGTATAAAAATAAGAATAATATAATATTCTTTGAAATTCCGTGAAAGCGTGCGCTCCTTGGCTGCTGGCTAGCAGGGGTCACCATGGCCCCTACATTTATCAGTCGAGAAAAACAGCAATACTGGCACAATAGAGTCGAAATTTTCCACTGATTGAGTACATGGAACGACCCCAAGGGGATGGTTTCATAGAAAATGAGTCATCATAACAAACAAAGGACGAATTAGAAAGAGGGAATCATATATCGCCGCAACTCTTTTTTATTAACGCGATTAAGGAATAGAACCGGTTTTACAACAAAAGTTTATAGAAAACCTACCTCCCCAACGCAGTACCTACACTTTGCCTCCAATTCTCCCATCTCCCACAAAATAACAGTTGTACGTACCTTGACGAAAAGAGCTTTCACCCACTGTTCATCAAAAATAGAATATAATAAAGAACTTAAGTCTATCGAAAACCAGCTTCTTAAATCTGGATACCCGCTTCCTTTCATTAAAAGAAATAGATATAAACCAGGGACTCCCAGAAATAACTCCAATCAATACATCTCCACCTGTTACTTACCATATACAGAATCTACAATTACAATAGCCCGCAAACTCAAAAGTTTTGGCATAAAAACCATCTTCAGAGGTTCACCTTCCATGGCCTCGATTCTAAGAAACCCAATCACCAAAGGCACCGACCAGAAACAGAAAAAAGATTTAGTTTACCAAATTTTTTGCCTCAACTGCAATAGTGTCTACATCGGCGAGACATCAAGAGACCTTTCAATCAGAATCAAAGAACACCAAAGAAACATCTCTAAACTAAACCCAAACTCCTTAATAGTTGACCACGTCAGAGAAACCGGACACACTCCAGACTTCAATAATACCAGAATCCTCCATACAAATGCCAAAACTAAAACCCAAAGACTCATTCTTGAAGCAATAGAAACCATGAAGCACCCTAAACCATTAAACAAAAGTATACAGTTGCCATCACAGTACGTTCCCCTTCTATCCTAAAAATCTTCAAAAGTCTCCACTAAATACTTTGAACTGTTTATAGTTGATTCTTTATATTTATTAAATTACGTAAATTTCTTTTAAGATATTTTTGTACTATATTATATTTGAAGTTAGGATCAGACATGACGTGGCCACGCGGTGCTATTGAAACGAGGGCGATAGGGGCGTGGTAATTTTATTTTATTTTATTTTATATTAAAAACGATATATAATCTCTCCTTGTTTGTACACTATAATTAGCTGAAGAAGGGCTTGCCCGAAAGCTTCCTTAATCGCGTTAATAATAAAAAAGAGTTGCGGCGATATATGATTCCCTCTTTCTAATTTGTCGGAATCCGCAAACCGTTTACCATGAAAGGACGAATGTTTACACAAAAGACAAAGAGAGCCAATACTTGATATCAACGGCGTTTTTGTTGTTTTAATAGTTTATTGTTTTACTTATAACTCGCCTTTAAAAACATATTAGAATTCGTTTTAACCGATTGATTAGTTCTGCTGGGGGCTAAATTTAATTCGTATTTCGTCATAACCGAATATTTCGTCTTAACCGGCAAAATCTCTTTGGAAAGCATTGAAATTTAACGGGGGAAAAGAAACGGTTCGCGCAAACCGAGAGTTCGTATAATCCGAGTTCGTGATAACGAGGAATTACTGTAATGAGTGCAAGTAACCAAAATAGGGCTCAGCACCTTGTAAGTACAAATTCTATCTGTTTATACGTATGTGACAAATGCAAATTATAAAAGGTGTCAATAGAAAATCAGTGTTAATCCCTTACTTAACCATGATTATCATGGTCTGTACTATGTGTGTAATTGAAATAATAATATAATTTTAAAATGCAACACAATTTTCCTAAACTGACTTCTCTGAAATGGACATTTCCAAATGCTAATGAATCAAATAAATGTAGCAAATCATTGCGAAAAATTTCAGTCGTCAAGGACACAATGGTTTCCCAACGTCAGGGAATTGACGGTGTGTAATTATTCAGGGAAACAAAGAAGCGGTACAAAGTTAATTGTAAGTTGGACAGGAGAGGTCCTGGGAGATAAAATGGTGGACACAAAGAGGATGTTACTAAACCTTTATCTCGAACGTAACGGGGTTGATGATCTTCCCTCGATCACAGAACGTTTCGCCCAGTTTGGTAGAACACACCGTCCTCCTTGGTTGACAGAATCGTCAATGATAAATACTCAACAGAAATCTGAAAACGTCAATTTTCCATCTAATGTGAATAACCACTACATGTTGCGGCCAGTTTTACGCGACGTTGATTCTATTTCCCTATGTCCCTTACCGCTCCCAGCTGCTCTCCAGCTTAAGCTTTTTTAGCCCTTACGACATTTTTATAGAATTATCTTTATTTTTAAATGTGTTTAGAGACTTTTATACACTCATGGACAAAACTTAAGAAGGTGAAAAGTCTTTGATATTGCCAGTCGTCTGTTTCTTTTATGGAGAGACAGAGACAATTTTTTTCACACTTGGTTATTTCATGGGTCTTCAATAAAAGTCACTGTAATATCTTTCAGAGTTATTGTCTAAATCCCGATATACATGCTGAAATGTATAACTTCTTTGAATTTTGTTAACGAGTGTAGACCACTTAAATGTTTATACACTGCTAAATAAAAGTTCTTGCTTCATCCCACTTTTTCTGATTCAAAATAGCTTTTTTTTTCGGATTACGAGAGTTCTTCTAAATTTGTTTTGTTTTCACATTTCGATATTAGATCAAAATGAGATTATTATTTTACTAACCTATTTTTTTATTTGAATATTTCTATTGATTAATTTTATTTCTTTGAATATTTATATATTTTGAAAGATGAAATGTATATTTAAAAGGTTTCAGCATTTCGGTTGGAATATCCAAGAATTTCTCCATCACACATGCAACTGTGTTCTAGTTAACCCAATATATAAGGAAACATTCACTTGTTTTTCTGTAGAATAAGACCAAATTCTGTTAGGGGAGTAGTAAAGAGCATGTACCACAGATTTGGAGGAAATATTGGCAGGTCCTCGCTCATCAGTGGTGAACCCTCCTAGTAGTTTTACTAATTGACTTTTGATTGAAGTTTCATCAAGTTAACGGATTTTGTCATTTATCCGGGTGACACTTGAATCAATATTTCAACAACTTCGACGTTACTCTCCCAATAACTCATCAACCTATTTTATCTTGTGAAACCTCAGTCCACTTAGTTCCCCCCTTTCATCAGTGTCCCCACGTTTCTACTCTTTGGAGGAACTCTCAATCCGAGAAAGTTGTTTAGTTTTTCTTTACAAATTTATAGAGTAGTATATTGTCCCCCTTGTTGGAATTAGAGATAGGGTATCGGTAAGTACACTCATTGACAAAACTTAAGGAAGTTGT